GTGTGTGTGTGTGTGTGTGTGTGTGTGTGTGTGTTGCTATCACGTATAGAACACGTGCTGGTATCCTCTCACTTCCTTTCTCCATGAGCTAGTGCTTGGTCTCAGGAGCCGCGTCCAGACTCAGAGCAGGTGCAGACCGTGCCCCAGTTCTCCATGCTAAAAAGCGCCTGAGCTGTGACTTGCATCCAGTCCTTTAGACTGTCTAGTATTCTTTTCATCACCCCACACAGGAAGGTGAAGGAGAAGTAGGCAAACTCCCCTGGGCAAATTCCATCCTCCTTTTTTGGGGGGTTGTTGTTTTGTTTGGGAAACTTTGGGAATAAGAGACATCTTATCCTTGTCAGCTAGTTGTGTTCTTGTTCGTGTTAATGTTTGTTGTGCAGAAAATAAAACACGCTGCCAGAAAGCAACAGCTCTCCAGACAAGTCAAGATAATAAGTCATGGTTTTGTCAAGTCATTATCCTGTCAGGAGAGATTTCAGACACCAAAGGAGGCAGACAGTGGTACAGTGAATTCTCACATTTCACCCCTGAGTCAACAGTGATCATGGTCTTGCCACCCTTGGCTTCTTCTGCCCCTTCCTGTCTCATGAAGCATACTTAGGACAGCCCACTCCCACCCTACACTTCCCACTATGCAGCTTTAAAAAATATGGGCATTTTCTGATGTAACCTTAATACCATACTCAAAGTTTCTTGATGTCATAAAGAATGATCTTTACAATTGACTTATTCAAATAAAATTTCAAACAAGGTCATTGGTTCAACAGACTTCAAAAGGTTCATGGAAAGATTCCCTTACTTTTTAATTCCATTTTCCTTTGGACTTTTTGAAGCCCCCTGCGGCAGTTACATAATCTCCTGTCAACTTGCAAAGGGGTGGAGTCTAGCCTGTCAATCAGGTCACAGCTTGATGACCTCATTTGGAGACGCGAAGGAGATAAATAGCTCACTGGAGGCCAGACCCACTCTCTGATTCTTACTCCTGATGACACACCACCTGGAACCACGCTGATGGAGCCAGAGCCCTGCAGCTGGAGGAGCCGCATGAAGACCCACACCGGTGCTGACATGCTTTCACCAGCACTGGATCCACAGGACTTTCCACTCACTGGCCTGAGATCTTTCTGCATTCATTGCATGGATGAGTGAGGCTAAACAGAAAGTTATGGACTATTATCGACATATGGGGTAATATCAGACATATGGACTTGATCTGGACTGGGCTGGGATGTTTCTTTGATATAAAGTTCTCTCTTACACACTATGAGTGTCACTGGATTTGTTTCTCTAGTCAACCTGGTCTAACATGCTCTCTCGGCCCCCACTCCCCCTCCAAGTCAGTTGTGTTTGTCAATACATTTTCTCCTCATTTGCCCATATTTCTTATCTGTTGTCCTCGATGTCCTTGGGTAGTGCAAGTGAGTATCTGGTGGTTCAGCCTCACCCAGTAGCAAAACACACACACACACACACACACACACACACACACACACACACCCCTGGTGATCTGCTTTTGTAAAGATTTATAAATAACCTCATTGCCTTTGACTCACAGCGAACCCATAAGGCAGGATAAAACTGCCTCTCTGAGTTTCCAAGATTAATTTTTTTTTTACAATAGTAGAAAGCCTCATCTTTCTCCCTTGAAGCAGCCGGATATTTCGAACTGCCAACCTCATGGTTCATGGTCCAAAGCACCAAGATTATAGCCACAAGCACCCATGGAGCAAATTTAGTCTGTTGTGCAAGTGGAGTGGCAGAATTGGAATCACTTGGCTGACAAGGTGACTGTGCTCAGGCACACATTGCTGTAGGCCTCTTCAGAGCTGTGGCAGTGATTTGGCTCATTTGGGTGGAGGGTTTGCAGTGCTACGCATTTGAAGTTTCAGAGCTCTGTTGGGCAGGGCATGCAACACCAACTGAGTTTCCACGGTCTTCAAGAATCTCAAACCGTTCTCATGTACTAATCACACTATTATTTTTTTAAGACAAGTTTTCAAAGAAAAAACGTCAACGCAAGCAGAACTTGTCTGCCGCCATCTGTAGGCCACAGACGTGTGTAACATGTTTTCTTTGGAATAAACCTGTAGAGGGATGAAGTGGACTCTATTCATTAAAATTAAAAAAAAAGAAAATGTAGCAAGCACGTTAATTTTCTTGAACCCTTTTTTAATGGCAGTGGTATGTGTGCCTTTTGGTGCATGCATGAGAATGAGGACTGCTTATCTTCTTTCCTTTACGTGGGCTCAGTACCTTTTGTCCAGGTGCAGTACTGCCTTATCTTGTTATTTTCCATCCACAATTGTGAGCACAAATCCAGTAAAATGAGTGGGTAAACGCGTTTGTCAAGCATCATTTTTCTAGTCGCCAGGAATGCTGCTAAGTGAGTTAGCGAGGATTCTGACTGCTACTGTTTGATGACAAGTTTTAAAATATTACGGAGTGATGTGCTGCTAACGTGTTCTCTCTCCCAATAGGTATAAATGACCAAGGACTGTACAGAGTTGTGGGGGTGAGTTCAAAGGTCCAGCGACTTCTGAGTATGTTGACGGGTATGCCTCTTTTCTAACCATTTTTCCATGTGTTCATGTGTTGATGCGCATTGACTTTCACAGCTTAATAGTTCATAGATTGTACAGCATCCTGGTGAACCCACTCTTTTCTCCTACTTCCCAAATCTGGCTCCTTCTCCTACTTCCCAAATCTCGCTCCTTCTCAGAGCGAGAGAGCGAGAGCGAGAGCGAGAGAGCGAGAGAGAGAGAGAGAGAGAGAAAGAAGACAGACAGAAAGTTGACTCAGAGAGCAATTAGTGTGTGCATCAGCTCCAATTACCCCCTACTTCTCCACTTATTAAGAAATGGGAGAAGGAAAAAGAGCAGCTCGCCGGTGAACATCTTCCCAAGAAAACCACAGCCAGGCTGCTAAGATTCGCATGCCTTCCAAATTGTGTGTCCAGCGTCCAGTGCATTTGGTTGGACAAGCCCAGTGGGACTCGCGTATTTTCACAGAGCTTCCAGCCCTGTTATTTGACAGAAAGGGCCCGATTCTCAGGGATTCATTGGTATTCAGAGTGGCTGGTTGGTAGTTTGCACCAGGCTCTTCTCCAGGTCCATGCATGCTCCATCTGTGCTGATAACACAGTGTTCTTTGGCATTACAGACTATAGGAAGCCAGAAAGCGAATTCATTTTTATTACCCCAGACATTATGTGAATGACAAACCGCGTTTACATTGCACTCTGCTGTCAGTTCAGTGCCACCTGTAAAGTGCCCCACTTCCCTCCTTCCCACCCCCTCCCCCAAAGCAGACATCCTCTTGAGGAGTGATGATAACTCATCAGGCTGGAGGGCCTGCATGGCAAACCAGTCTGTCATCCTGACCTTGTTGAATATTAATTTCTTTGATATCTCACTTTAATTAATCAAGATTAACAATGTCCTCAGGTATGCTGCCAATGCATTTAAAGCTGTCTGCATCTTAAAGCATTGCAGTAAAGCCTTTTTTTAATAGCATAAACCCAGATGGATAAAATCAATGGACATGTACAGATAGGGCTGATTGTTCGGCTGTATTTGAATTACAGGCTTTAATAAGCAACAGGCTTAAAAATGTTTGTAAGCTATTAACCACAGAATAACGGCTCATCGTCAGTTGGAGAGGCTTGTTAGAATACATTCACTTTCACGAGCTGTTTTCATTTTCTTCTTCTCTGGTTTAACTTGGGTGTGCAATTTTGGCAGTCAGATTTTCCTTTTTACCATTCGTGGTCTCCAAATTAAATAGACCCAGGTTGCCAGTGGTTCAGTAGCAGCTGGAAGAGTTTAATGGGACTGCAGCATCTGCTTTTACTTAATTTTAAAATTAGAAACACTTATTTCCAGCATGGTGGTATAATCATTAGGACTGGGAGACTTTGTCGGTATCAGTGCAGGAGACTTTGACCACACGGCCTGGCTCGGTGGTAAATTAGTCCTAAAGATCCTGGCCCTGTTTGTTGATCTTCTAGTTCATGTCGGAGCAAAGTCTGAACAAGGGTGCCTTTTGGTGGCTCTGAAGTGCTAAACTGTCTCTAAAGGTCTTCGTCATCTTACAAACATCCAACATGCTTTGCGTCCCTGCACTCAGGTGGCGGTTTCCTCTAGTCATGGGAAATGTCCCGAGAGAGCCCTTAGCTTGGAAGGTGACTTAAATATCTGAACCCTCAAAGACGGCAGGACTTCCTACTCTCGTTAAGAGTTACTGCTCGGAAACTCACAGATGTAGTTCTACCTTGTCCTCTCTATATGGTCTCTGGGAATCCACATCTAATTGATGGCAGCAAGTTTTTTTTTTTTTTTAAAGAAACCCTCGAAAAATATATGAGCTGGAAAACATGTACTTTCCCTGAGCCCAGGAGTGACATGGCCTGCTTCGAGTTGCTGGCAAGGGAAATGCTATCCTTTTCAGCCATGCCATCCTGTAAACAGAGGAAGTTAGAGAACTGACGCAAGGGAAAGATAATGAATTGTCATTTCCTCAGAAATTCATTGAGGAAGGCCACATCATAGAAATTGCCTTCACTAACCTGAAGGTAGTCCCTTGCATAACCTTAGTATGGTAAGTCACACACGTCTGTGATTTAATTAGCATTAATAGAATTTTCTTGTTATTCTAAGGTTGATCAACACAACCCGTCACTCTTAATGGTTTGTTCGCTATTTCCTAGTCAAGTTAAGATTTGCTTTCATCCCTGTTGCACATTCAAAATTTAAAATAATGTATGCCTCTTCAAAAATTAAAAAGATTTCAAGGTTTCTAAACATGACTCTTCCATGGATAATCTTCTCTCTCTAGTTTTCTACACCTCTCTAGATTGTTTTAAGCTGTGCACATATCTTTTTATTTATTTTTTGACATTTTATTAGGGGCTCATACAACTGTTATCCCAATCCACACACACATCAATTGTGTAAAGCGCATTTGTACATCGTTTCTCAAAACATTTTCTCTCCACTTAAACCCCCGACATTAGGTCCTCATTTTTCCCCTCCCTCCCCGCTCCCCCCTTCCTCATGAGCCCTTGATAGTTTATAAATGGGTATTTTGTCATATCTTGCCCTGTCTCCCTTTACCCACTTTTCGGTTGTCTGTCCCCCAGGGAGGAGGTCACACACAGTTCCATGTAATCGGTTCCCTCCTTCCTACCCATTCTCCCTTTACCCTCCCTGTTTCGCCACTCACACCACTGGTCCTATAGGGCTCATCCGTCCTGGATTCCCTGTATTTTCAGTTCCTATCTGTACCAGTGTACCTCCTCTGGTCTAGCCAGACTTGCAAGATCAAATTCGAGTCATGGTAGTGGGAGCAGGGAGGAAACATTTAGGAACTAGAGGAAAGTTGTATTTCTCATCATTGTTACATTGCACCCTGACTGGCTCATCTCCTCCCCGAGACCCCTCTGCAAGGGTATCTCTAGTGGCCTACGCTGTGCACATATCTTAAACAGAAAAAAGATTGGTGGATATGACAAAACTTGCTTGCTTAATTTAATTAGTGTTTTTTCTTATATAAATGAATTTTGATTATTTTATCTGTCTTTAAAATTTTCTGCTCATCCAGATTATATATTTATTTCAAAGTTGAGTTTTCCCAAAGTACCATTTATTTGTAATGCATTTTTTCTTAGTAGAATTGATAATTAATAGAATTCTGAAGTATTGAGAAAAATTCAAAGCCATTTTAATTTTCTGGGCGAGAGCTACAGTGTACCTTTTATTTACCGTTTATACTTGTGTATAAGCTGGGTTTTTCAGCACTTTTTAAAAAATCATTTTATTGGGGCTCATACAGCTCTTACACAATCCATCCATCCACCCATTGTGTCAAGCACATTTGTACATTTGTTGCCATCATCATTCTCAAAACATTTGCTTTCTACTTGAGCCCTTGCCTCGGCTGATATTCGGTTGGCTTATATTGGAGTATATATGGTAGTTCTTTTTCATTCCCTTTTCGGGTTTTATTGTCGTTCCCTTTAATTCTTGAAAGGGAATGAATTTATTTTGGCATTTTATCATATTGCTGTCATTTGTACATTAAGTATTTTTATATTGTTTGTCTTAAGTATTTTCAGTTTTCTTTCAGCACTTGGGCGTAAAATGCATGTGATGACTTCTAAAGAAAGGAGGAATGCGTAGTCTCTTGAATACATACATATATATGTATATATATATATAAAATAAATTTTTTCACTTAGTGTTAAAATAGAGAACACATTTTTCCTCACCCCCCCCCATCTTCCTATTCCCCTATCCTCATCCCCCTTTCTCCTCTTACTCACCAATAAAAACGAAAATGGCCGTTGACCATAAATGATTCCCTGAGTAGGCAAGTCATTAGACTCATCCAGGGCAGATGCGTAAGTGGCCTCTGCTCTTCTGTGGTGTCAAGCTTTTTTGTTGAGTGACCCTCTGCCCGGGGGCTACAAGGTTATCCCCTTTGAACGACCCCTGTGGATTTCTGGGACTCTAACTCACTCTGTACAGGAGCAGAAAGCATCCTTTCTCTCATGGGCAGTTGGTGGTTTTGAACCACTGACCTTTCAGTTTGAAGCCCAACCCTCAACACCCCCAGGGTTCTTGTGAAGGCTACAGCCTTCTTCCCAATTTCCAGCAGCCTCCTAGCCTTTGTTCCCGGACCAGAACTTGTTAAGGTCTTCAAAGAAAGCCTCCCCTGTGAGCAAGTGCTTTTTCTTCCTTCCCAGATCACGCTCCTTCCCTTCTGTTGTTGCTGGCAGAGGCTCACACTGATTTGCTAAGGCAGTTTTTAAATAGAAACCTGGAGCACTTGGAGAAGGCAGGGAGAAATACTGGATCAGCTGTCTTTGGTTGAGTCATGGTTTCGTAGTTAATGAGGTGAGAATGTTCAAGACCAATTACTGTTGTGATGGTAGACTGACACTCGTATGGGTTAGAATCCTCATTTTATTCCTTCTTCTTCCTGCCTTAGAATGAAGATATCAAAGCAGGAGGAGAGTGTGAGAACATGTGGTCATAGCTTATGTGGCTGATTATTTCTCAATCTAATTTGCAGAAAGGGCTGACTGATTTTATCTACTTATTTATCAAGCCTAAAAATCATGAATAGCAAATATAGTTTTTTACCTACTCATTGTCATCGAGTTGATTCCTTTGACTACAGGACCGAGTAGAACTGCCTACGTGTGTCTCTGAGGCTGTAAATCTCCACAGGCGCACAGAGCTGCATCTTTCACGCGAGCAGCAGCTGGTCGTTGTGAAATGCTGACCGAGCATAATTCCCCACCCCATCATAGCTTCTTAAACACAATTAAAAACAGAAACGTAATTTAGGAGCCATTTGATTTACAGTATGACTGCGCATTGTTCTGTTTGTAGAATAGTTTTGCCATGTAGGTTGGAGAAAAAGGTAGTCTAGCCTCTCTAAGTCAGTGTAGAGCAGGGTGCTAACAGGTGCATCAACGAGCACTTTACCGTTAGGTTAGCAGAACATTCATAGCTTCAAAAACCGAACCACTGATGAGAAGTATGAACCGTTTGTCCAAATGTTAAACTATCTGAGCCTGTGCCGGTAGTTTAGAGATTTAGTAGCTACTCCACTAGCTAATTGTTCCTGTTGCAGAAGGGAAACAAAGTTTCCAGCTCCTTATGATGAAATGTATCTCTTGAAGGAATGAAGGAAGGATCCCAAGTGAATCCCAAATACACAAATTCTACCCAGTCCCAGTGCGTCCCTGATTGTAAAGGACTGCACGGGATGATTGAGTTATTTGAAAACAGTGAACATTTAATAGGGATTAAAACATTGACACGGTGCAGTTATTAACTTCTGATGTGACAGCTGCTTTTTATTCCATGAAGTCAGAAGGAGGACTTATTTTTCCAGAGAGAATATGGTTCTCAAAATACAGAATAATAATTTGGTAGAAAGCTGAAAGTACAAAAGATTTCCTTTAGAAGCCCTCTTGGATTTTAAAATGGAGATTTGCTGGTAGCAAGTTGATTGAAAATGTTATCTGTCTTATATTTTAAAATGAGATTTAAATAATTGATTTAATGAGAGAGAGAATATTCAGTTACAGAAGTAATTGGTTGGCAAAGCCTGTGGAACAGAATTATTTAGTCCTAGTTATAAAGGATTGCACCTTTAATCAGGGTGCTTAATTTGATTTTTTGAATGTATCTATGGCTTGTCTGACAAGCTCGTGTAACAAATGAGTTCCGAATTGTAGGAACTGATCAAAATGTAATCAGTGTCAGTTGCCATTGTTGTAGTTTATTGCATATTGCTGTCAGTTGCTGAGGCCAAGAAATGTTGAAGGGCTTTAAAAAGTCTCCAGACCGCTGAGGAATTGGCTTCGTGTGTATGAAGCCAAGGGTGTGAAGTGCCCATCACTTCCTGTTTCCCTTCATGTTCGGAGTTGGAGACCTGCCTCGAGTTGTCAGTAGTCCCTGCCCACAGCCCACTTTTAAGTGCAGTACAAGACTTCATGTGGTGGTCTCATTTTGACAGGTTTTCCTGTTTAGTGAATTTACAAGCAAATACTAAAAAGATGCTTCCTTCTATCTCCAGAGAAATCTACCCTACGAGGGGGGAAAACTGTAACAGCTTCTGGTTTTGGTTTTAACTAAAATGTCATTCTGGAAAGAGGGAGGAATCAAATCTGTCCTGTCTCTTGTTTCCTCCTTTTTCATGGCAGGACGATAGGAAGCCAGGTTTGTTTTTGTCAATTGATTACTGGTCTCAGTTTCCAAGAGCTGCTACAGTAGAAAGGCAATAAACAGGTAGATTTAAACAACAGACACTAATTTCTCACAGTTTTAGAGACTGAAAGTTCAAATCAAGACCGTATCTGTGTCAGTTCCTTTTTGTGGGCCAGCTGCGGCACCTCCTTGGTTCTTGGTGTGTGTGGGTCTGTCCCTCCGTATTTGTAATTCAGCAGTGATTAGATTTAGAACCCATCCTACTCAGCTGTGAGTTAATTGCAATACAAAACCCTAGTTACAGACAAGGTGATATTTACAATGAAAGGAGTTAGGATTCTGAAACATTGGGGTGGGGGGAGGTGCATAGTTTAATCCAGAATAATATTATTCAGCACAATACATTTACTGATCCCCTCCTTTTGACTTGGGTACCAACAGTGAAGCCTTAGACTTTGTTGTAAATCGGTAGATCATAACCTAGCCTATTTCGTAGTTTCTGAAAATCTGCATACATTCCTGATTTCCTTTGATGTTCTCAGTCGTTCTGTGAGAACAGTTGCATCAGCGCCAGCTTTCCAATGGAGACTTTATGCCTAGATAGGTTGGCTCTCACTGCCTAGGGTGGCTTTGCTGGCTAGGGTTGGGCCGGGAATTTAAGCCCAGGTTTGTGAGGTCTCCCTGTTGGCAGATCACACCTGTGCCCAGTGTTAAAGATAGAAGATGGCACCATGCTCGAGACGGTCTGCCTTTCTTTTAATTTCCATCAAGTTTGATTTTTTTCCCCCCTCTCCAAAGTGCATTACCTTTTTTATCCCCCTTCCCCCTCATGTTGAGGTAAAGGGGAGGAGACATGCATGCGGTTTTCTTTGGAGCTTGCCAGCTGATGGAAAAGACATTTAGAAGAAACATGTCATTAGCACACTTTTAGGATTAAGAAAGCTAGTTTAATTTACCATGTCTATTAGAAGTTTTACAGTCTTCCAATAAATATTTCCTTGATGAGTACATAAATTGTAACGTTAATGGGAAAGGTTATTCATGAATGACCTTGTAAATTTGTTATGTGTAGTCATATTTCCATTCTACACTTGAGAAAGGCAATGCTTTGAATACAAATCTTAGAAGTAGACGTGTGGGAAGAAGTTTCTCATCCCCTTTCTAACACTGCCTTGCTGGCATTCTAGGAATTGGATTTGCCTTTAATGGCCTTTGCCCTTATTTCCTTTGTGATAACACAGGGTGATAGCAATCACACCCCTTGCAGCAAGCTAAAATGCGTACATATGCTGAAAATGCCACGTGTTCTGTGCATCTACCTATAATCATAATATCATGATAATAGCGATGCATAACTTATCCTTGTGGATGCTGAAATGGTATCTTGGAAGTTTACTCGAAGGTCAGTGCTTGTTCCTTTGCCTTGATATCTACTGCAGATTTTATCTGCAATACTAGAAACTTCTCATAATAACACGTAGCTTACAGTAGCATAAGAAATTACATGTAATGTCTTTGTAGCAAACCATAGCATTAATTATTTGTGCTTTGTCCATTTAAAAATGGGAGCTACCTGAGCAAGTCAAGAAGGCTTTTTGAATATTCCAGATTTTAATGATCTTTCTGTTCTTGCCTGCCCGCCAGATGCAAAAACATGTGATGAGGTGGACCTGGAGACTTCTGTTGATTGGGAGGTGAAGACAATCACAAGCGCCCTGAAACAGTATTTGAGGTAAGCCTCCTCTCAGATACAGAAGAACCTACTAGGTTTCTGTAGGTATCTAATAATATCGATGCTGACTCTTGTGCATGATTATCAATGTTGAAGTTCAATCCTATAAGAAGAAGAACATTCATGAGGTGTCTAATAGTATCCCTGGAGGTGAGGTGTAACTAGTGATGAACACTGTTTTTTTTTTGTAAATTATAACCTCAACTTAGATAATTTTGACTTGGATCTTGAACTCAATGTCTGTTATAAGTAGACATGACTTTTAGAAATTATTCACTATGAAACAATGAGAAAAAGAAGAGTATTTGTTGAGTCTCATACAATCTTACACTGTTTTAGGCAAAAATGTTTAAATTAAACCATTTGAGTTTAAAGACTTCTGATGCTAATGCATTAACTGCAAAGCTCTTGGAAAACAAGTTTTCTTGGTCTTATAACAACTTCAGTTTTGCAGTTATTATAGAAAACATCTAGGGGCTGGATTTAGAAAAACAACGTTTTTTGAGTGATCATCATTTATTAAGCAATACGGTGTGAATGAGAAAAAGCTCTTGGGACTAGATGAAGAATAGGTATATAGAAAGTTAAATAAGCTCATACCTGTAAGTCCTGTGCTGCAGTTCTGTTGGGGACCTTGGCTTTGGCATGGAAACTATGCTGCATTGTATCCCGAGGGTCTGTTTTATTTATTTTTTTTAAAGCAACACCTAGGCCTCTATTTCAGGTAAACGTATTTAGTGTACAGTGAGAACAATAGAATAATTTTTTTTTCAGCAGGCAATCCATGGGAGAAAGATGAGACTTTCTACTCCTGTAAAGGGTTACAGTCTCAGAAACTCACAGTAGCTGTTCTATCTTGTCTTGTGGTGGGAGGGGGGAGATGGGGGTCACTATGAGTTGGACCAATAGAATAAATTTAACATGTTTCAAATTCGATTTTTACACCATTTTATTGGGGGCACGCACAACTCTTAGCACAATCCATCCATTGTGTCAAGCACATCTGTACATTTGTTGCCCTCATCATTTGCAAGACATTTGCTTTCTGCTTGAGCCCTTGGTATCAGCTCATTTTTTCCCTCTCCCTCTCTGTCCCTCCTCCCTTACAAACCCTTGATAATTTATAAATTATTGTTATTGTGTCATGTCTTACAATGTCCGATGTCCCCCTTCACCTACTTTTCTGTTGTATGTCCCCCAGGGAGGGGGTTATATGTAGATACTTGTGATCGGTTCCACCCCGTCTTCCCTCTACCGTGCCAGTATTGCCACTCTCAGCACTGGTCCTGAAGGGATCATCTGTCCTGGATTCCCTGTGTTTCCAGTTCCTATCTATCTGTACCAGTGTACAACCTCTGGTCTAGCTGGATTTGTAAGGTAGAATTGGGATCATGATAGTGGGGGTGAGGAAGCATTAAAGAACTAGAGGGAAGTTGTATGGTTCATTGTTGCTACAGTACACCTTGACTGGATCGTCTCCTCCCTATGACCCTTCTGTAAGGGATGTCCAGTAGTCTACAGATGGCCTTTGGGTCTCCACTCTGCACTCCCCCTCATTCACAATGATATGATTTTTTGTTCTTTGATGCCTGATAACCTGATCCCTCCCACACCTCATGATCACACAGGCTGGTGAGCTTCTTCCACATGGGGTTGTTGCTTCTCTGCTAGATGGCCACTTGTTTATCTTCAAGCCTTTAAGACCCCAGACACTATATCTTTTGATAGCCAGGCACCATCAGCTTTCTTCACCACATTTGCTTATGTACCCACTTTCAAACAAAAAAATTTTCATGACAAATTTCAAGTATAGAAAGCCAGAGGCAGTAGTGTAATCAATCCTCATCATTTTGCTTCTTTAGTTATTAACATGCCACTTCATCTATCCCTTTTCCACTTAGAGTAATATTTTAAAAAATTGTCTAAAATATTATATTGCTGCAGTTATAAATACTTGAGCATATACCTATAAAAAGATGAACTAGCCAAAAAACACCCTGGTGACCCTGTAGGACAGAATAGAACTGGCCTGATGAGTTTCAGAGGCTATGATTCTTTATGGGAGTAGACAGCCCTGTCTGTCTCCTGAGGAGCAGCTGGTGGTTTTGAACTGCTGACCTTGTGGTTAGCAGCCCAATACATAATAACCACTATGTCACCTGAGATTGCTAAGAAAAAGAAGTCAATGACTTTTAAAAAGATAAGCACTTAAAAAAAAAGGACAATCAATACAGTTACCACACCCAGCAAAATTACCAGTAATTAATATTATGCAATACCCAGTCCATGTCTAATTTTCATTGATTTTTATCAGTCATTTTTACATTTGGTTTGGCTGAATCAGGATTTAATGCCAACACATCTGATCTGATTGATGTATTTTAAATCCATTTTAATCCATACAGACCTTCTCCCTCTGTCTTCATAGCATGGACTGACATTTATTTGATACACGTGGGTTGGCATAGTGGTTAACTCCTATAAAGAGTTATAGTCACAGAAATCCACAGGGGGAGTTCTACCCTGTCCTGTGGGTCACTCTGAGCCAGCATCAATTCCGTGGCCGTGAGTTTTAAAAAATAAATACCTAGATTGCCGCTGATAATGATAAACTGGTTTAGATGATCATTGCGATAAAAGAAATCTTGGTAGCCTCCATGGATCGCAGGTTTAAAATGTAAGCTTCCTGAGGCTAAGCATCTTGTGGGTCTTGTTCACTGTAGTGTTCTCAACATCCAGAACTGTGTCTGCTACTTAACTACTAGGGCAGTAGTTCTTGAGGATGTCTGGCAACTTATGGAGACCGTTTTGGTTGTCATGGTTTATGGTAGAAGAGGGGTTGTGTCTCTGGTGATTGCTTTGAGGGAAGAGGTCAGAAATAGTCTGCTAAACATCTTTTAGTGTGAGGATTGGCCATCTTCCTTGATAAAAAGATAAGTGAGGCATTTAAAAGTGTAATGAATTGCTCACAATGTTATCTTGAACAGCCATGGATCTTTCCATGTTTGGAAGTAGCTTTAAACTCATTTTGTTGTTATTGGTTGTGTTCAAGTAGATTGTGACTCATGGTGACCTTGTGCGTGCGAAATAGAATTGTATTCCATTGGGGCGACAAGGCTCTCAGCTTTTGGAAACAGATCACGGGGCGTCCTTCTGAGGCACCTCAGGGGAGTCTTGAACGGTACACCTTTTGGTTAGCAGTGCCACTCTCCACCATTTGTGTCTCCCAGGGAGCCCTTCAACCCATTTCACTGTTTCTTAAACATAGGCCAGGTAACAGCTGAAGTCAGTCAAGTACAGTTACCAAGGTGACTTGGCTGTGGATGGAAAACTAAGAATATAATCCAGGTCTCTCTTTTGTAGTAAAAGTTATGCTTTTTTCCTGCTCTATCTGTCCCACCCCCCCCCCCTTTTTTTTTTTGCTGAAGTAGTTGAAAATACATTACAGTTATGATAATTCACTTTTAAGTACAAAGCAAATCATATTTGATTTGTATGGTAGGTGCGTTCTTGGTAAATACATTGCCTTTAAAATTATATAAAAGAGCTTTATGTTTACATGTGAAAAGGCATTAAATTTTAGGCTCAGATTTCTATAAACAGGTTTTTTTCTATTCACATGACTTATCTTGGTATTTATAAGTCAGGCAAGATAAGGGGCAATTTTTGTTTGTGCAAGACTTCCCCACAATTTATGCCTAACATTCCGATCTCCGCCCACTAAATGCCATTTGAATGGGGAGGCAGTGAGACATTGTAACAAGCTCCCAGCAAGCCTGGTGGGCTGAACCTATTCATTGATTTAAATAGTCCTCTATTGAAAGAATTGTACAA